TGAACCTCCATTATCACAGCTTTTAAAACAAGCCTAGAACCTGTTTTAAATTTCAAAAATTTTGTTATACAAGTTTCAGGCCAGTTATATAGGTTTTTGAAGGTAAAACTTTGAATTTTTTATAATTTTTAACGAAACATTAATAAAACGTTTATTGATGTTTCATTTTTTTTTAGTTGGTTTCTTCAAACTCCTTTGTAAGTATTTTTTTAATTTAATTTGTTTTTTTTAGTAAAGGTTACTAACATTCGTTTCCTTCCATTTTTTAGACAGTCTGAACAAGCATGTAGAAATTTCAGTAAGGTATTTATTATTTTATCTTAGTTGTTTATTTTAATAGAACATTTACTAAGTTCTGATATTTCTTTTTTTAGACGGCTGAATTTTCAAGTCTTTGGACAAGGATATTTGAACAGATGTGAGTTCTTTTTAAAAAATTCTTTGTTAACGAAATAATTATTAATTGTTTCATTTATTTTCTTTTTTGTAGACGATTAATATTTCAGGATACTTGACTAGATAAGGATTTTTTTTTAAAATAATTTATATTTCTTTTGTTAACAAAACAATTACTAATTGTTTTGTAGACGATCGGTATTCAGAATATTTGAGCAAGTAAAGTTCATTTTTTTTGATTCATTTCTTTATTAACGAAATGATTACTAATTATTTTATGTTTTTTGTAGACAACTGGTATTCNTTTAACAGAACATTACTAAGTTCTGATATTTCTTTCTTTATAGACGATCGGTATTCAGAATATTTGAGCAAGTAAAGTTCATTTTTTTTGATTCATTTCTTTATTAACGAAATGATTACTAATTATTTTATGTTTTTTGTAGACAACTGGTATTCGCGATATTTAGATGGGTAAGGGATTTTTAAGATATTATAACTGAGATCCAAATTAAATATTCATTTATTTGAGATCAATATATTTGATAAATTATAGAATACTTTCATTACCGGAGTACCGATATAGATTCTTGGACTTAATTTGAATTATTATTTCTTTTTCAAACTTCGCTCCTTCCTTTATAAAGCTGTTAACAATTTCAAATACTCTTCCCATCCTATTATTCTGACTTTTTAGAAAATATCAATGTATTGTATTGAACCACCCCATTTTAACCAATCGCAAACTGAATTGAACGTTTGTGAATAAAATATCAAAACATCAGTATTATCTGGCTAATGAAACAATTACCAATTATTTCAGTTTTTTTTTTTGTAAATGATCAGTACTTCAGGATATTTGAGCAAATAAAAGATACTTAAATTAAATAAAACCTAATTATATTATTGTATAAGATTATTTCTTATTTATTTTAATAAGTTTTGGTATTGTTTCAGTTATTTTCATGTAGTTTTTTTTTATAATTGATTGATAATCACCTGATTACGCTAATTCAAAAATGGCATTAAATATTAATATCTAAATCAAGACATTTATTAACACCAATAAAAATTCGTCTTACCATAAATACATATTTTATGAATAAAGAATACAATGAATAAATTTTGTGAATAACCATTTAAACCATTTTAAAAGGTAAAATGATAGCTAAACAGGCAGCAGCAGAACTTTTAGTGCCAAATACTGATAATAAAGATGATACAAATAATGCAGAGATATCTAAAAAAAAAGGAAGCTAAAAAGACTGAAAAATGATGTTTGGACCTTTTTTATAGTAATTGGCGCATGAGTTCAAGGTCATTGTGATGCTAAGTGTAAAGTATATGATTGGAAAAAGAAGGCTAATGTAAAAATAGATGAACTTAAGACTATACTTATTAGCAGAATTGAATTTTTAAATTATGACAGACGTAATTAAAATACCATAATTCGCCGTAATTATATGTTTTATTAGTAAATATTTGTACTGATGTAATTGTTTTTGGCTATGCCGTAATATTTTGACATTGACTTTTTAATTCTACTGAGAAGTATACTTGAGACTTATATTGGTCTTCGGTGTATTAAAGTTGATTATCAAATCAAAAAAAATATATAAACATTATTCAAAATCGAGGAAATTTGGGTCATTTAAATAATTTAATCAATGATAATGAAAGATCCTCAAAAAAAATAAAGAGCAATCATGATAATTAACAATGAATTGACAAACATTATGATTCACTTAAAATAGCTAATTCAAAAGTACAAATGGCCAATCAGGCTCTTATAAAATTATTTGTTTGTTGCAGAATACCATTTTATTTAATACAATATCTATTCTTTGTAGATTTTATTAATATATTATGCCTAGCATATTCACTTCCTTCACAGTAACAATTGTCTGCAGATATGCTTAATTTAGAAATATCACATATCACCTATCAATAATACAATACCTTATAAAGTGAATTTCACTCTTTAAAGTTTAAAACATATTTAAAAATCTAGTCATAAGAAAAATTCTTAGTAAATAATTCCTCAAAGAAACTGATTTGAAATAGTATTTTTAACTGCTAAAATAGCAATTAAAGTTGCTTTAAAAACTAAAAGTGATAATGAGTTGATTCAATTGTTGAAAAATTTTATTTCGTCTAAAAAAAGCTATAATAATAATTTAAAAATGAAAAGTAATAATCAAAATAATAATAATTTAAAAATAAGAAGTAATGATCAAGATAATATAATTCCTTTACAATAATGTTTAATTGATGAAATTATAGAACTTCATGTTACTAAAACTTGAGGTGCTTCATGTAAAAAAGAATCAAAAGTGCTATAGAGATATTAAATGATAAAAGGGTTATGCATGAAATTACAAGTAAAATCAATAATAATGTATAGGATACAAATGAAATATTAAGACAACAATACAAGTATTTATTATGTGAGAGACCTAAGTATTATCAAAAAAATGTCTAAATCAATATTGATTAATATATATATTTTGGTATAATTAGTTTATTATAGTAATCAGTAGGGTAATTGTAGTAAATACAAAAATAATGTAATGAATATAGGTTTTTAATACATGAAAAAAATGTAGTAAATATAAGGTTTTATCAATTTAAATGCAATTTTATTTATTTATAATAAAATTTCAAAAAAAAGGTTTTACACATGTTTAATAAAATAATTGTATTTATTGTAAAATTTTATAATACTAAAATTACAGAATTTTTCAATAAATTAAAAATATGGTAAAATTTACCGTATCACATAATGTGATGAATTTTACTGCCGATTAGCATTAAAATCACCCTTAGTATACAATTATTAGATAGAATTGGCTACTATATGACTTCTAATATTAAACACCTTCCAAAATTTAGCATCCCTTTTTTATACAATATCAAGTACAGTCAAACCTTTATATAATGATATGTCAGGACATATATAAAATTTTTAGAAAATATCATTATATTAAAGTTATACTAATATTTATATGTCTTCACATATAGTGGAAAAATAAAATTTTATTAGTATATCAGTATATTAAATATTGGTATATCAAGGTTAGAGTGTATAAACTGAAAATAAGCACCTCTTTAACTACTTATTAAATTACATTATTATTGAAAAAATATACAAATAAAAGAATTTAACTACCAAAACTTATTTTTTACAAAATTTTTTAAACAAATTTTAAATTGATTTAAAGATATTTAAAGACAATTTTCTAAAACTGTCAAAATTAAGTATTTTCCAAACTTTTCACACAAAATCTTTGCAAAAAGGGAATGCTTAATATTGGAAAAATATGGCATTTACTAGCATTGGTTAATAATTGTAATATTAATTATAATTTATAAATATTAAATAAATATACACAATATTTATATTTTTAAAAGAATCTTTTTCACTAAATTTTTTTGAAATTCAACATTATTTATTAAAAAATTAACTGTAATATGATTTATTAAAAAAAAATTTTAAAATAGTGAAATTTAGTAATATTTTTTTTTGTATTTTTAAATATAATTTCTTTAATCTTTTTTTTTTAAGTGATGTTGAATGGTTCCTTATTAATATATGTATAACTAAACTACATATTGATACAATTTTACCTTAATCATATTTAAAGTTTTTAGATTTAAAAATACTCTTTCTAGAATATCTCAAAATAGAAAAAAAAAATTAAATTTAATTTTTAAGATTAAATTCATAATTTTTTTTTTTTCCTAATTGTTATTTTATATAATAACTATTTAATAAACCAATAAAACATTAATAATTAATTTTTATTATTTAATATTATAAATCCGTATAAAAATAGTAAACCAAGAAAATTTATTGTATTTTTTTCAATTTGTTAATAACTAGCATTAAAATAAAAAAAAAAAAAAATATTTTGTATAATATGATGTTTAAATCGATTTCAAGAATGTAGTAAAACAACTGATATGCAAGTTTATTAAGGTATACCCTTGCCTTACATGGATATTAAAATACAAAATGTTATTTTTAGCCTAACTATAAAAAATCCTGATGAAACTTTACGGTAAAAATTTTATTAAGTATTATTAAATATCTTTTCCGGATAATTTTTATTTTTGACTTTCAGTTTTATAATCAGTTCATGCGAATTAGAATTCATGATTATAGATTATAAATTAATATTGGTTATTTAATTCGTTATAAAGCTATTTGGATAATAAGATGCTATGCATGATGTATTAACATGTATTTCAAGACCAAAAGGATCATAGTGAATTTCGTACCACTGCATGAATACAAACACAAACCGCAACAATAATAAATAATGATTTCATTAATTTATTGGTATTGAAATTTGAGAGACATTTTATTGAAACAATCTCGGTGTGAATGAATATCTGATCTAAAAAAAGTAACAACTAAAAAAAAAAAAAAAAAAAAAAAAAAANTTATTTAATATTATAAATCCGTATAAAAATAGTAAACCAAGAAAATTTATTGTATTTTTTTCAATTTGTTAATAACTAGCATTATAATTAAAAAAATAAATATATATAAAGTGTGCAATTTTCGAAGTATTATTATATCGATACATTAACTATCGAAAAAAAAAAAAATGTGGTCAGCCCGAGGAATAATAATAATATTACTTGTACTGTTATCAATACATTCTTTAAACGTTTCCGCACAAGCGGATTGTCAAGCATGTTTACAAGTAGATGCTTCATTATCACCATGTAATACTTCCCTCAAACGGCCTAATCCGGGAGAAACCGTTATTGTTCAGTTTGGTGGTAAGAATTTAAACAATTTTTTAAATGTTTTTTTTTTTTTTTCATTAAAAGATTTATTTTTTAAAAAAATGATGATAATTTAATATTTAGCCCTCGAAGCCAAATGTTATTGTAACCAAGCAACATATGATCAATTAGGAGCCTGTTCAGCTTGTAATAACGGAAATATAAAAGTAGATGACTTGGGAAGATATAAAGATGTATGTGCCACTTTTGGGGTTCCATTCACAGGAGGTTCTCCAGGAAAAGAACAACCAACAACTCCAACAAATAATCCTACAGATGCATCAAACGACCCTCAAATAAATATTAATATACCAAATTATTCTAATAGTTCAACTAGCTTGTCATCTTATATAATATTGGGTGTAGTTCTTGGTATACCTGCGTTAATTATATTGGGCATTTTTATGTATAAATGTTGCTTTAAAAGAAGACAATCACTTAAAATTAAAAATGTTTCTGATAGATCAGCTTCACAAGTTGATTTAACTGATGATTCGAGTATAATATCTCGATTACAAGTATATCAACAACAACATTCTCAGACTCAATCTCAGACTCAATCTCCGACTCAATCAATTGAAAATGATGATTTAACTGAAATTTCAATTGAAAATGGTAGAGTTAATAATAATGAAATGCAACAACAATATAATTTTAGAAAGAATTATTAAAAAAGATTTTTTCATAGAAAAAAAAAAAAAACTTTTTTTCATTATAGAATTTTCGAATAGTTATAAAATATACTTGAATATATATACATATTATTATATTATTATTATTTTTAATTAATTAATTATAAAAATGAGATTTACCTCATTTTTTATTATCGAGAATATGATTCATCTTGCGATCATAATCGATAATTGTATAAAAATATCCTCCTCATTTCACATTTCTTTAGAATGGACAATACTTTGCGCAGTGTTGAGTGGGTAGGAGTTATTTTTATTGGGGAGTTTGTAGAAAATTTATTCTTTTATTATAACAAAAACTCTTTAAAAAAAAACAATAAGTAATAATATGACTTAGACAAAATAATTGAGTAAAATATTCCTACGTAAATCCAAGTTTTAATCACATGAAAACCGTAATAAAACGAGGATTTCTTCATCCAAACATTTTTCCATTTTTGCATACACAAAAAATGTTTGTACACGAAGTCACGGACTTGTCCGGCGGGCATACCCGGCTACCAAGTAATCGAAAAACCGGAAGAAAGTTCCACTTTTATCCCGGTAGAAAACTTTCACATGGTTACTTATTACTTTTATTGTGCAAATATTTGGAGAATATGATCAAATTAATCAAATTACTAAAATTTATAAATTTTGGTAAAATCCGAGAGCATAAGGGATTTCTCTAATTTATCGTATAATAATTATATTATTAATGTAACCGTCAAAGATAAGTGCTTGACATTTTAATCTAACAATAGATGACCTTAAATTCTTTTCACATTACGATATTTCCGTTAAAAGTAAAAAAAAGAAATCCACAATCCACAATACATATATTAAATTTGGATCGCCTATTTTACGTAATTGTCAAATTAAATGAAATAAAGTTTTTATTTTCCATAAGTAGAATTTCATTTTTTTTTTTTTTGACATTTTTTATTCAAACCTTTCAAACCTTTCAAACCTAATTATTCGAATAAAAACAATAAAAGCGCAGTAATTATAAAAATCTGAAGCACTCCTTTTTTTTCGTGCTACTTAAATATTCCCCGATCAGTCATAATAATAACAATGTTGTTTTAATTTTTATTAAATTTGGAAAATTATAATTGGAAACATTTCCGACATAAATCTTGATTTGCATTCGTACAAAGTAAATAATAATTAAATTATAATTTCAATAAAAATTACCAAAACCACAAATTTGTCGTTATTTGGATTGATATACAGGAAATCTTTGTATTCATTTTTTTGGTATAGTACCTTTAACAATTCTGAAACATGAAATTTTTTTTTTACATATATATCACATTTTACTTGCACGTTTTTTTTTATTTTTTTTTCTTTAAATTCTTTATTATTTATATATATATATGAAATCTCTCTTAAAATTATTTTAAAGAATTTGTTTTTTTTTTAAGGATATGAAATTATTAAATATATCAATTTTATTATTTTTTGTGATACAATTCCTTACGAATAATGTTTATAGTATAAAAGATTCAGCATGCGGAAGTGCAAATGATCCATGTTTACTTGCAAATTCTACGTTAAAACCATGTCATGGATCCATCATTTCAGTACCTCCTGAAGCATTAGATGGCACAATTGATTTTCAATATCAAATTTATGGTCATTAATCATTTTTAAAATGGTTTAACTCTTTTTTTTTTTCTTATATATATATATATATATATATATATTTATTTATTTACATTTTATGCATAATATAATTAATTATTTTATGGTTAAAAAAAAAAATAATAATGTAGATGGTTATTTATTTGATTGTGCATGTAATGTTCCATTTTATAATTTACTCGCAAGATGTACGACATGTTTTGAAGGTCTCGGAACTAGTATTACAGTAGAATCCCTTGATAGTTTTAAAGTAACTTGTGGAAAATATTTTGGTAAAGCTCCACCGTAAGTGACATATAATTTTTAATAATCAAAATTTTAATAATCAAAATTAATTCTAATATTTAAACTCTATAGACCGATATCAACAACATCAACACTACCTTCACAAACATCATCACCACTTCCACCGCCACCATTACCACCAATTCCGCCACAAGGACAGCCACTACCTCCATTACCATCACCACCACCAAAACCAACAGAAACACAAAAACCAATACCGAATCAACCTTTCTTATGTAATTGTTTTAATGCCAATTATTCACTGATTTCTTGTGATGGTCGAATTGACGAACCTGATCACGTATTGAGTGGTACTTATCCTAGAACGTTTAAAATTGATGGTAAGTACAAATATAATTAATTAATTAATTAATTAATTTACTTTTAAATTTAATAATTAATTAATTTATATTATTCCTTAATAAACTTAGATCCTAAGCTAGCACCGTGTCAATGTAATATTGAATATTATAATGACTTAAAAGAGTGTATAGAATGTTATTCTTCTCCAAAGAATAAAATTTTTGTTGAGCCACTTTCCAAATATGAACAAACTTGTCAACAATTAGGAGTTCCATTTGGTACAAAACCGTAAGTAAAATTTTCTTAAACTCTTTAAATAAAATTTAGAATTTTCATTAAATACTTTACTTTTCCCATTATTAGACCACCACTGTTTGGTAAAATTGGTAATGGAATATCATTAATTCATCCTGATCCTGATCGGTTAGGAAATTCAATTATTTTGCTTAGTTCATTAATAACTTTTGTAATATATTTGGTTTAACTTTTATAAATATGAAGTCATCTATAGTTTAAATAGAAATTTTAAATAGTATTAACATTTCAATACTCTTATATATTCCCCGCCAATGTAACTAACTATATTCCCCGGGCCAATGTAACTAACTATTCAAGTTAGTTTAAATTTTATGATCAACTTTATCTGTTAGAAAATTAATTTTAGAAAATAATAAATTTACACACTATCGCGTCAGTCATTTCTGAATCAAGTTAATTTGGCGTTTATTTTAGTTATTTACAAAAATGACCAATCAGAAAGAATTTTTTAAAAGCTTATCCTTAACAATGAGTGTCGGAGTCTCCTTTTTTTTTTTTTTTTACATACAAACAGTGTTACAATATTTTAAAACATCATTGTTTTAAAAATTTTACCATGCGGTAATGGATGAATACTAAATGACTATTGAATGCATTAAAAAAGAACGATTTCAGTGTATTTACTAACAGAAGTTGAACAAGTTTTCATTTTTGGTCAAACCATAACAAGTTATGGTATCTATTAATTATGGTCATCTCATTTATAAATTTGTAATGATTTTACCAAATTTAGAACTTTCATGATAATTATGTCATTGTGAAATTGCTGATAGTAAAATCTTAAAGGCAATCTTGAGGAAATCAAGTTTATTTTTAGTATAAATTACTAAATAAAAAAATTTTGCGTTACTATTGTTATCAAACAATTATTCAATAAACTAGATTTAACTAGATTGATTATACAGTATATAAAAGTTATTTCATTTGAAATTTTTTTTTTTTGAATTCTTTTTAAAGAGAATCTCTTTCTCTTTCTTTGTTCATTATATATATTACATATATATAATAATAATAATTTTAAAATTACTTTTAATGAAATTATTATCACAAAATGTCTCTTTTATTAGAAAAGTTTGCAATTTTCTTAATTTTAATTCTAACGATAATCCTCCCCTCAAATAATTTGATCATGGCTCAAACAAATAATGCCGCAATTTGTCATTCTTCTGCTAATCCTTGTATCAAAATTAATGATTTATTAAAACCTTGTGGTGAGACATTACCTATGCCTCCCAAATTAAATGATACTGATACAATTCAAAACGTTAGTTATTTTGTTGGAAGTAAGTGAAATGAAAGTTCTTGAATTTCTTTTTTTTTTGTGCAATAACATATTTAATACATAATATAATCTTTTATATAGACTCTGATGAAGCGAAATGTTGGTGTAATAAAGAATTTTATGATTTATTATTAAATTGTACGACATGTTTGTCTAGCCCAACCGTTAATGCGACCGTATCTCCATTGGATGATTATAAAAATGATTGTAAAAAATATGGAACAGAATTCAAAGAACCAAAGTATAAAAATTATTTCTTATTTTTTTTTTAATAAAAAAAAAAAAAAAATTTTAATTGAATTTTTTTATTTATAGACAATCAAGTTCTTTAACAAAAACACCATCAGAAGCATCAGGAGCGAGAGGTCCAAATAAACTTTTAATTGCTCTCGGCGTTAGCGCATTGGTAACATTATTAGCGAGTTTGGCCTTTTGTTTGTGTGTCATCAGAAGAAAAAAGATAAAGTCCCGTGCTTATGCAAAATTGAAATCAGATTATTATGCATCAAAAGGAAGAGGAATTAACATTAGTGGAAGAAATGTCGTTAATGAAAATGATGAAAAGGAATTATATTCCCCTTCAGTTCCAATGCCACCACCATTAGCTCATCAACCTCAACAAAATGAACAACAACAACAGCAGCAGCAGCAAAAACAACAGCAACAATCGATGGATCAGAATCAACATAATTCTTATAATTTTAATAATGCAATATACGGGGAACAGCAATATTATGTGGAGGCGAATCAAGCTCAAGTACCAAGATCCAGTCATGAATGTTCTGATAATGTTAATAATAATCATCAAAATTATCCCAAATAATATTTAGTTTGTATATAATATATATATATATATACACAGTATATACGTATTTCTTTCTTTTTTTTTTTAGTCGTTTAGTCCATTTAGTCCATTTAGTCCATTTGTAAATTAAATAAATTTAAACGATTAAACGGCAAAGGTATTACTTATTACTTTTTCTATCTATTGAGCGCGTAACATTATTACATATTACATTCATTCATGTCAATTAATGAAACCCATAGTCATAAGAAGTTACACTTGTAACAGATTTTGGATTAACTACTTTCTTCCCGTGTAATCAAGGAATTTGGTTAAAGAGATCTAAAAAGAGATACTGTACCTAATTATTACGTAGTAGTCAGATTAATATTAAGGTATCGAATTATTCAAACTCCGATATAACGATATGTTGGGTCCCATTATGAAAATTGTGGGAAAGTAAATTTTATCGTTATATCGAGTTTATAATATATATATTGGTATATCGAATATCGGTATATCGAGATCTGACTGTATTAGGTTCTATGTTTTACCACATTGGTATTGTGTCAAGTAGAACACGTAAAACTATTACAAAAATTGTCATCAATCATTCACTACAAGGCTTATAAAAACGCTCAAATTTGCTATTCAACGAGATAAATACCGCAAATAACTTTTACACTGCAAATATTGCAAATAACTATTCTTTTGAAATTCCAAAATGCTTCACTACTATCATATTTAAGGTATCCTTTATGTATTTTAAATCCTGTTCAAATGTTTGTCATATCTTTCTTAATGGTCAGATCTTCTTACATAGAAAGCCTTGTAAGATAATGTTTCTCTATTTTCCTTATTAAACCAATTCAGTGTGGTGTAATTTTTTTATATCAAAACTTATTATAAAGCAATCTATTGAATATTCTTTAGGATAAAAAAACTTATTATTATCACTTCCCTAAACACTATAAAATATTCAATAAGTTTCTTTGTTTTTTTTATATTTAAGAAGGAAAATTAGAACCTTTTCAAAATTTTAGTTTATTATATCTAAAGTAGTAAAAAGTTATTATTTTTCAAAATAATCTATTAAAAAAATCTTTAACTTTTTATTAGAATCTATCTAATCTATCTCAACTATTTTTTATTCAGAATTCTATTTAAATTTTAACATATTAATTCTTTTTGATTAAACCAATCACAAATTATAGAAATTATAAATTATTTAAATAATTTTTTTTTAAATAAAGTAATTGACTAAGTATAATCTTATATCTTTTGTTATGATATATTTTATCACGCATCAAAATTTGCCGAGTGTCGCGTAACTTATGAAATTTACTGTATATGATCCTACATATTCATTTTATTTTATTGGCTGACCTGCCCGACCAGCTTCTTTCTGATACAGTTAATTCTCTCTAAGTGCACTCTCTTTAAGTGCACGCATTATATATTTTTCTCTAAATGTAAAACCTATACAATCGAATAAATTACAGTATTGTACTGCTTGTTTCACACATCTAAAAATCGATCGAAATTACAAGTTTTATTACTATGTATATAATATGAAATATGCAGTCAACCTATAAAAAAAATTTCTGGAAAAAACTCCGATAAATATCATTTTTCTATTTTTATTCCGAAGAAACTCAGACACGTGATCATTTTTTTGAAAAATTTTTTATAGGGAATGCCCCCCGGGACCAAATGAAAATTTGAAAAATGTGCATTTAGAGAGAATGTGCATTTAGAGAGAGAAATCTTATATGTTCTACATATACCTGGGACTGAGTAAGAGGGTCATTCAATATCTCATTGACCTTGTATACTATTTATCACCAGTGATGTTTTCTCAAATTTGACAAATACCAGCACTAAATTTTGTCCCCAGAATAGACAAATTTTCAACCAGACTTTGATTTATATATATTAATATAACTCTAAAGTATCTTTCCAATCGTTCCCGATGGGTTTCAACATTTTCGTTTATTAGCATACCGTAAAAATTCAAGAGAACGTCAATTTGTTGATTATAAACTTAAAAAATATACAGAATGCTCTAATGTTCTGAGAATATGTCGAGTTTCACGTTTTGATTAGAGTTAAATAGTCGTACAATAGCCCATGTATCCCTAATGAATAAGATAACCTAAATGAATAATCTAATAACTGATTAAAATCATATAACATGAATAAATATATTTACGAATTCTATTTACGAATTTGATATCTTCGAATACATTGTTCTGAAGATTTTGAAACTGAGTCGCGAAATTCATGGTAGTAACTGGTAAGGTTTGAACTACTTGAAGTTCCTGAGATAGATTTGCGAAATTCGGTTGTTAAAACTAGACTTTATTTTAATTTATCACTTGCAGTGCTGAAAAAATTAAAAAAAAAAATATAGAATTATAAATGGACTTCGTTGATTAATTGATGCTGCACGTACACGTTTAAGCGTTTTCCACATGACAAATCCCTATTTATTGTACCTTTGTTCAGAATTTTTTAATCAAGTCAGAATTTTGATCAGATCGAAAATTTTTTTACTCAAAATAATTTTACGTTCTTATTAGAATGGCTTATAGTTTCGGGTGAAACTATTTTTAAAATCTGTTTCGCCTAAGTTTCTCCCAATATAAGCCGAAAACTATCCGAAACTTGACTTTTGTAGATTATTTAGTTTCGCACGAAACGCTAGAGTGGCCAAACTTCTAATGTCATCCACATTGAAAGCTTTTTTGCATTTATACGTAGAACAACTCTGTTTTATACATAAAAAGTCTAGTAGCTTTGATTGTAAAGATATAACTCCGCGAGTTCGGTAGTACGTGAGTATGAAAACATGAGAGATTTTCATCAAAGACAGCCGAATCAAACGTTGATCGTACTACATATATAGATTTCAGGAATTCCAGAATAAGAAAATCATCAGTTTCATTTCTCAATTTATAGGATGTGAAACAGCAATAAGCTAATCTATATACGAGAAACAAAGTTTTGCATCAAAATTATAAATTTGTCAGGTTTTTTCTTTTTACAATTTATTCACTATCATTGTTTTTTAGGTATTAAACCAATCCTTTTACATCTACATACTGTACTTTTGAGTACTACTTTTGCTATTCATATCACTTTCGTTAAACTTTTTATAAAAATCCTTTATATCTACATACTTTTGAGTACTACTTTTGCTATTCATATCTCTTTCATTAAACTTTTATAAAAATCCTTTATATCTACATACTACTTTTGCTATTCATATCTCTTTAATTAAACTTATATAAAGAAAATGACAGGACTATCAGATATTTTTGACGTTGATAAATGCAAAGGAGTTATTATCGACTCCCTAAAGAAAGATAAATTTATAGCTCAGGCACAACAACAAGACTTTGCCAAGAATTTTTTTTCTGAACACAAGACTGCTTTGTTGACGGGAGGAGGTACACTAGCTGGTTTTTTGGCAGGTCCAGCAATAGTTGGCGGTATAGTATATGCAATAGGATTTGGTGGAACTGGTATTACAGCTGGATCTACCGCAGCATGGATGATGTCCTTACATCACGGGACTGTTGCTGCTGGTAGCCTTGTAGCGATTTTACAATCAGTTGGCGCTGCTGGTTTGGGTACTGGAGGGATTATTGTTTCTAGCGTAGGTAGTAGTTTATTCACTGGTTTATTCGCTGGAGCATTACTTAAAACTTTGGAATCTAAAGAAGCATTAGCGAAATTAGAAAATTTTGTTTCTAATCCTGGAATTGTCATTTTCAATCCGCTTCTTACAAATAATGGAGCATTAAATTCATTTTGTAGAGGGTGGTTTGATTCAGCTCGAAAGATCACTAATACTAAACGATTCGAATTTCAAGTTGTTGAAAAATGTATTTATGGTTCAAATTCTTTACGTAGTTACTTAAAAAGCACCTATGAAGCTGATCATGTTTCAGTAGAAGGGAGTAGTTGATACTCGTTGAATTTAGAATAAATAACTAGGAAATGATCGTTTAATAGGGGAGATATCTAAACTCTGCAATTGTTTTTTTTTTTTTACCGTGAACAATAAGATCGCATCTTTTTTTTATGATTTATTTTATTTCATTTTTTTTCAAATAAAGCGCGAGATTTTATAATTTATTTTATTATTTTTTCAAATAAAACGCGATCAAATAAAACGCGAGAATATTTTGTCCTAAACTAGTAGGTTTATTCCTTGACAATTTCATAAATTGAACATAATTATCAACCTCATAATGCGTTGAATTATACAATTGACGTGTGACGATAGTATATTTGTATCTGATAATATCACGTGCTATTAATATCAAATGAATTTTTTTTTCTCGTCAGTTTATAAAGTGAAGGATGGGTCCTCAACTCCCCATTGTGGGATGTGCATTGTGGGATGCACACTTCTTGTCAAGTTTAAATAGATAGATTCATGTATTTTACTTACCGCTGTGATTTATTTAATTTAACCGTTGTGACTGTCTTTCTAAAGTAAAAAAAAAAAAAAAAAAACAGTTTTTTAAATTTTACAATTTATTAAAACAAAATGTAGTCATTAACCCGTTAGTACGTTACACTTAAGATTAAATTTTGGCGTGTTCCAGAAATTGTTGACTCAGTAAAGGAGAAGAAATGGAAGAGTTAATTATAAAAAGGAAGGTTACATAAGAAGAGATTATAGATGAATCGGGAAAATGGAATTATGGTAATGCAATATTTTGCATGATGCTGGAGAAGTTACAAAACAAATGAATTATTATTGGTAGAAATGATTTGATGCCTGCACTCCTGCAGGATATATATGATTTCCTAATTTTCTGCTAATAAATCTTGATGTTATTGTAAAAGTTGGTTACAATGTATATATATATTACATTTGCCATATTGAATTCCATCTCATTCCATTTAACAAATATTGAGATTTCAAGAATATTTAAAATAACCTAAAGAAATGAATTGTAACTTATTAAATTCATCTTATTAAGATATTTTAATAATATATTTTTAGATTAAATGTATATTTTACCATCCTGTATGATGCTTAAATCTTATATTCTGTAATAAAAATTTGTAAGAAAGAAAAGTTTAATATATAAAATTTTTTAAAAAATGTACAATATGTGTAATTTTATCTACTTTACAAATTAATTAAAACATCAAAAATGGTTTTTAATATTATTTTTGACTTATTGTTAAATTATGTAACATAAATTTACCTTATTTTAGAATCAAAAATTGGATCTTATAAATACAATTTATAAAACTATATTACCATTTAATATATTTTAATAAAAAAAATTTAGATAAATTAGTAAATTTTATTAATTAGTAATTATTTTATAATGATTAATAATTATTTTACAGTCAACTATCTCTAAATGCACATAATGAAAATTTGAAAATATGCATTTAGAGAGGGTGTGCATTTAGTGTTTTCTATATACCTGGAACTATGAGGGTCTTGTATACTATTTATCACCAGAGTGTTTTCTCAAATATGACATATACCAGCACTAAATAAAGAACGAGATTATGTGACACAAGTGACAAATTTTTCAACCAGACTTTGATTCATATATGTTAATATAACTCTAAAGTATCTTTCCAATCGTTCCCGATGGGTTTCAACATTTCCGTTTATTAGCATACTGTAAAAGTTCAAGAGAACGTCAATTTGTTGATTATAAACTTAAAAAATATACAGAATGCTCTAATGTTCTGAGAATATGTCGAGTTTCACATTTTGATTAGAGTTAAATAGTCGTACAATAGCCCATGTATCCCTAAAAGAATAAGATAATAATTATCTAATAACTGATTAAAATCATATAACATGAATAAATATATTACGAATTATATTTACGAATTTTGATATCTTCGAATACATTGTTCTGAAGATTTTGAAACTGAGTCGCGAATTTCATGGTGGTAAGGTTTGAACTATTTGAAGTTCCTGAGATAGATTTGCGAAATTCGGTTATTAAGACTTAAGACTAGACTTGACTTCATTGATTAATTGATGTTGCACGTACACGCTTAAGCGTTTTCCACATGACAAATCCCTATTTATTGTACCAAATTGCTACTTAATTTATTATATCAGATTTATATACATGCAATTAATTAATTTTAATTGATTACATCATCTATATTTCTGTACTAAAAACTAAAGCTAATTTACTCCCTTTGTTCAGAATTTTTTGATCGTAACCAATCCAAAATCAGAATTTTGATCGGATAGAAAATTTTTTTCCCCAAAATAATTTTACCCTCTTATTAGAGTGGCTTATAGTTTCGGGCGAAACTATTTTTCAAAATCCGTTTCGCCCAAGTTTCTCCCAATATAAGCCGAAAACTATCCAAAACTTCCGAAACCAAAATTTGGAAATGACTTTTGTAGATTATTTAGTTTCGCCCGAAACATTAGAGTGGCTAAACTTCTAATGTCATCCACATTGAAAGCTTTTTTGTATTTATACGTAGAACAACTCTGTTTTGTACATAAAAAGTCTAGTAGCTTTGATTATATAAAGATATAACTACGCGAGTCCGGTAGTACGTGGCGTATGAAACATGAGTTCTGCTATATCAAGACAGCCGAATCAAACGTTGATCGTACTACATAGATTTCGGGAAAACAGAAATTTCCAGAATAAGAAAATCATCAGTTTCATTTCTCAATTTATAGGATGTGAAACAGCAATGAGCTAATCTATATACAAGAAATATCAAAATTATAAATTTGTCAAGTTTTTTCTTTTTACAATTTATTCACTATCATTGTTTTTTAGGTATTAAAACAATCCTTTTACAACTACATACTTTTGAGTACTACTTTTGCTATTCATATCACTTTCGTTAAAAATCCTTTATATCTACATACTTTTGAGTACTACTTTTGCTATTCATATCTCTTTCATAAAACTTTTATAAAGAAAATGACAGGACTATCAGATATTTCTGACGTTAATAAATGCAAAGGAGTTATTATCGACTCTCTAAAGAAAGATAAATTTATAGCTCAGGCTAATCAACCGCAACAACAAGACTTTGGAGATAAGGCCAAGAATTTTTTTTCTGAACACAAGACTGCTTTGTTGACGGGAGGTTTTGCTCTAGCTGGTCTTTTGGCAGGTCCAGCAATAGTTGGCGGAATAGTAGGTGTAATAGGATTCGGTGAAGTTGGTATTGCAGCTGGATCTATCGCAGCATGGATGATGTCCTTACATCGCGGAACTGTTGCTGCTGGTAGCCTTGTAGCGATTTTACAATCAGTTGGCGCTGCTGGTTTGGGTATTGGAGGGATTATTGCTTCTGGCGTAGGTGGTAGTTTATTCGCTGGCGCAATTGCTAAAGCATTACTTAAAACTTTAGAATCTGAAGAAACATTAGCAGAATTAGAAAATTTTGTTTCTATTACTGCTACTAATTTTGGAATTGTCATTTTCAATGTGAAATCTCCGCTTCTTACAAATAATGGAGCATTAAATTCATTTTGTAGAGGGTTTGATTCAGCTCGAAGGATCACTAATACTAAACGATTCGAATTTCAAGTTGTTGAAGAATGTATTGATGGTTCAAATTCTTTACGTAGATACTTAGAAAGTACCTATGGAACTGATCATGTTTCAGTAGAAGGGAGTAGATACTCGTTGAATTTAGAATAAATAACTAGGAAATGATTATTTAATAGGGGAGATATCTAAACTCTGCAATTGTTTTTTTTTTTACCGTGAACAATAAGATCGCATCTTTTTTTTTATGATTTATTTTATTTTATTCTTTTTCAAATAAAACTCGAGATTTTATGATTTATTTTATTTTTTTCAAATAAAACGCGAGATTTTATGATTTATTTATTTATTTCATTTTTTTCAAAAACGCGAGAATATTTTTAACAATTTCATAAATCGAACATATCAACTTCATAATGCGCTGAATTATACAATTGACGTGTAACGATAGTATATTTATATCTGCTGATAATATCACGTACTATTAATATCAAATGAATTTTTTTCTCGTCAGTTTATAAAGTTTTTCAAGTTCGAAGGATGGGTTCCCATTGTGGGATGTGCATTGTGGGATGCGCACTTCTTGTCAAGTTTAAATAGATAGATTCATGTATTTTACTTACCGCTGTGATTTATTTAATTTAACCGTTGTGACTGTCTTTCTAAAGTAAAAAAAAAACAAAAAAAAAACAGTTTTTTAAATTTTACAATTTATTAAAACAAAATTTTATCATTGACCCGTTAGTACATCACACTTAAGGTTAAATTTTGGCTTGTTCCAGAAATTATTGACTCAGTAGAGGAGAAGATATGGAAGAGTTGATATAAAAAGGAAGGTTACATAAGAAGAGATTATAGATGAATTGGAAAATGGAATTACGGTAATGCAATATTTTGCATGACGCCGGAAAAGTTACAAAACTGATCTAATGTCTTTTGGTAGGTAAAATATTATTATTGGTAGAAATGATTTGATCATTTTATTTAGCCTGCTAATAAATCTAGATGGTTATTGTAAAAGTTGGTTACAATATATATATATATATTACTTTTGCCATATTGAATCCCATCTCATTCCATATAACAAATATTGAAATTTCAAGAATATTTAAAATAACTAAAGAAATGAATTGTAACTTTAATATTAAATTCATCTTATTAAGATATTTTAAATAATATATTTTTAGAGTAAATGTATATTTCACCATCCTGTATGATGCTTAAATCTTGTATCCTGTAATAAAAATTTGTAAAAAAGAAATTTTTAATATATAAAATTTTTTAAAAATGTACAATGTGTAATTTTATCTACTTTACAAATTAATTAAAACACCAAAAATGATTTTAAATATTATTTTTGACTTATTTTTAGAATTAAAAATTGGATCTGCTTATAAATACAATTTATAAAACTATACAGTATATTACCATTTAATATATTTTAATAAAAAAAATTTATTTTTAATTAGTAATGATTAATAATTATTTTACAGTCAACACTCTCTAAATGCACCCCCTTAGGACCATAATGAAAATTTGAAAAATATGCATTTAGAGAAGGTGTGCATTTAGAGAGAGAAATCTTATGTTTTTTATATACCTGGGACTGAGTAAGAGGGTCATATAGACCTTGTATACTATTTATCACCAGTGGTGTTTTCTCAAATGTGACAAATGTAACATACAGTCTAACCTCGATATACCGATATTCGATATATGTACTGATATACTATTAAAAACTTGATATACCGATAAAATTTTATTTTCCCACTCTATATATGAGGACATATTATCGGTATAACTTTGATATAACGATATTTCCTAAATTAAAAATTTCTTATATATCCCGACATATCGTTATATAAAGGTTTGAATGTATACCAGCACTAAATGTCCCCAGAATAAATAAAGAACGAGAAGAACTGACACAAGTGACAAAATTTCAACCAGACTTTGATTCATAGTATATATTAATATAACTCTAAAGTATCTTTCCAATCGTTCTCGATGGTTTCAACATTTCCGTTTATTAGCATACAGTAAAAGTTCAAGAGAACGTCAATTTGTTGATTATAAAAAAATATACAGAATGCTCTGAATATGTCGGAACCAATTGAGAGAGGTTCTAGATTCACATTTTGATTAGAATTAAATAGTCGTACAATAAATAACTCATGTATCCTTAAATGAATAAGATAATAATTATCTAATAACTGATTAAAATCATATATATTTACGAATTCTATTTACGAAGTTTGATATCTTTGAATACATTGTTCTGAAGATTTTGCAAAATTTATGGTGGTAAGGTTTGAACTTTGAACTCTTTGAAGTTCCTGAGATAGATTGCGAAATTCGGTTGTTAATTATTTTAATTTACCATTTGCAATGTTGAAAAAATCAAAAAAAAATATAGACTTATAAATGGACTTCGTTGATTAATTGATGTTGCACACGCTTAAAAACATTGGGCGTTTTCCATATGACAAATCCCTTTATTGTGAATTTTTTAATCATAATCAATTCAAATCAGAATTTTGTTCTGATCGAAATTTTTTTTCCCCAAAATAATTTTACGTTTTTAAGTATTAAAGTGGTTTATAGTTTCGGGCGAAACTATTTTTCAAAATCCGTTTCGTCCCAAGTTAATATAAGCCAAAAACTATCCGAAACTTCCGAAACCAAAATTTGGAAATGATTTTTGTAGATTATTTAGGCAAAACTAGTTTCGCTCGAAACACTAGAGTGGCTAAACTTCTAATGCCAGCCACATTGAAAGCTTTTTTGTATATACGTAAAACAACTCTGCTTTGTACATAAAAAGTCTAGTTGAACTTATTAGCTTTGATTATATAAAGATATAATTCCGCGAGTCCGGTAGTACGTGGCGTACACGGTACGGGTTTATCAATCAAACGTTGATTGTACTACATAGATTTCAGGAAAACAGAAATTTCCAGAATAAGAAAATCATCTCAATTTATAGGATGTGAAACAGAATCTATATTCGAGAAATAAGATTTTGCATCGAAATTTTTTTACAATTTATTCACTATAGGTATTAAACAATCCTTTTATATCTACATACTTTTGAGTACTACTTTTGCTATTCATATCTCTTTCGTTAAAGGTTTATAAAGAAAATGACAAGACTATCAGATATTTCTGACGTTGATAAATGCAAAGGAGTTATTATCGACTCCCTAAAGAAAGATAACTTTATAGCTCAGGCTAATCAACCACANACAACAAGACTTTGGAGATAAGGCCAAGAAATTTTTTTCTGAACACAAGACTGCTTTGTTGACGGGAGGTTTTGCGCTAGCTGGTCTTTTGGCAGGTCCAGCAATAGTTGGCGGAATAGTAGGTGCAATAGGATTCGGTGAAGCTGGTATTGCAGCTGGATCTATCGCAGCATGGATGATGTCCTTACATCGCGGAACTGTTGCTGCTGGTAGCCTTGTAGCGATTTTACAATCAGTTGGCGCTGCTGGTTTGGGTATTGGAGGGATTATTGCTTCTGGCGTAGGAGGTAGTTTATTCGCTGGTTTATTCGCTGGCGCAATTGCTAAAGCATTACGTAAAACTTTGGAATCTGAAGAAATATTAGCAGAATTAGAAAATTTTGTTTCTATTACTGCTAATAATTCTGGAATTGTCATTTTCAATGTGAAACCTCCGCTTCTTACAAATGAGGGAGCATTAAATTCATTTTGTAGAGGGTTTGATTCAGCTCGAAGGATCACTAATACTAAACGATTCGAATTTCAAGTTATTGAAGAATGTATTGATGGTTCAAATTCTTTACGTAGATACTTAGAAAGTACCTATGGAGCTGATCATGTTTCAGTAGAAGGGAGTAGATACTCGTTGAATTTAGAATAACTAGGAAATGATCGTTTAATAGGGGAGGTATCTAAATTTCGCAATTGTTTTTTTACCGTGAACAATAAGATGAACCTTATTTGAATTCATCTTTTTTTTTATGGTTTATTTTATTTTATTTTTTTCAAATAAAACGCGAGTATATTTTTGACAATTTCATCATTCGAACATATCAACTTCATAATGCGCTGAATTATACAATTGACGTGTAATGATAGAATATTTGTATCTGATAATATCAATATCAAATGAATTTTTTTCTCATCAGTTTATAAAGCTTTTTAAGTCGAAGGATGGGTCCCCATTGTGGGATGTGCATTGTGGGATGCGCACTTCTTGTCAAGTTTAATAGCTAGATTTCATGTATTTTACTTATTGCTGTGATTTTTTAAATTCTACAATTTATTAAAACAAATTGTAATCATTAACCCGTTAGTATATCACACTTAAGATTAAACTTTGGCTTGTTCCAAAAATTGTTGACTCAGTAAAGGAGAAGATATGGAAGAGTTGATTATAAAAAGGAAGGTTACATAAGAAGGGGTTATAGATGAATTGGAAAATGGGAATTACGGTAATGCAATATTTTGCGTTGGGCTGGAGAAGTTACAAAACAAATGAAAAATTGGCACAATAATTTAATGGTGAAAGTAAATTCCTCTATCGTTAAAGCAGAGGAGATACCAGATATATTTAATGCTTCTATAATCAATCATGAGACTGCTGAATTATTGAAGAATAAGCCAAAGAAGACTTTAGAAGAGATACAGTCTATAGACCGACATCACATTACAAATTGCTCAGTATGAGATTTCACCATTGACCGAAGATTTCATCTTAAAATATGGGAATTATAATCATATGAAATGGTTCAGAGCTTATAAGCAATTACGGGATGCGGTACTAATAATGAAACAGCTGTTGAGGCTATTTCCCATAAAGATTACAGAAAGAATAAGCTTACAACTGCAACCTGAGCTGAGACTTGAGAGTAGAGTTCCAATCTGACATCCGACGGATGATCAATCTCTTCTCATTTATTTTTGGAAAGAAACATTTATATTTCATAATTTATAATTTAGGAACTGCATTCAATGTAAGGTGATCAGACTATGCAATATTTAATTAATTGAACATAAAATAAATGGGGTGAAATCTTAGATGGATTGAAATTTTCATCTGTTGGATGATATTTTAATCTGTTCCTAATTTCTCCTCACTTTCATTTTTGAAGAGAAAGTTTATTTATTAAATTATATACTGTATTATGCTCTTAGGATATCCCTAAAAAAAAATGCTCTTTTATATTAATTAAATGAGCGTACAACTGTCAAAATGTGATTATCTGTTGTGGAACTCTACTTGAGAGGCATCGAATTTGCCTAGAATTTTTAAGGATTTGCACACCAGCTAAAGAAATTGATGATAGAGCTAGATATAAACCTAAGGATATTAAGATGCATTTAAATTCTCCTGAATCTTCCTGAATCGATATCACATTTCTAGAATTTAGTTTCAAAATGGCTCAGGTATTTGATAATACAGATGCATTGTGCAGAGCTAAAAAATCAGGATTGAAAACAAATCAGGCAAAACTTGGTTTACTGAACTCAACACTACATGTAACCTATGGATTGAAATTTAAGACTATAGACAAGAATCATAGATATTATCACCTAGTAGGTTCATTTGATAGTAAAGATACTCCTAGATTACCTTCATATCAAATGGGTGAAGAAACTTATTGGAAAAATGATGAAGATATTTGATATGGTTACAGTAAACTCTCATGAATTAATATTAGATAATCTTACTAGTGAATATCATGCAAATCATAGAAGATATTCAGGACTTATTTGATATGTACTAATACTATTTGATTATAAATCAGGTAGGTGAAGCCTTTTACTGTATATAATTTTGCAGAAGGTTTCATTTATCAGTATATATTATTAAAAAATATTTCTATCCTTGTGTCTGCCAAAATTTTATATAATAATCAACTAATAAATGGAATAATATTTTTTGCTCACTCCTTGGCAAATAATTCAGTAGTCTTTTGGGATGAAGGGTCTTAACCAGATATTTACTAAAGTAAACTACATCACCCCATACTTCTGCCTTATCCAATAATTCAGTACATAGTAGAATTTAGCAAAATGTTTGGAATAGCATCCTGTAGTAGAAGCAGTAGAAAATTCACAAATAAGGCATGGTCTTTTTTTCATATTTTTTCATGTAATATTTAATGTTCCAAATGGTTCAGTTTAATTCCATTTTTCAGTTTTTTTCTAATTGATCAAAATCTGTTTTGTACAATAATTTACCATTCAGTAATTGTAAAAAGATAATTAATAGCTTGTTGGAATTCTCTTATTGAAATAGTTTATTCAAATATATTGTTAATTCTCTTTTTACATTATTATCAAACTTGTTTTAATTCTATAAAGAAAGTAGTATACAAATAGGAACTGCTTTTTTACCCATGCTTATAAATCTTTATTTTTTAAAGAAGGATTAGAAAAAAGATACAACTTGATAAAAAGTAACTTTTTTCATAAATATATAAAATATTAATAATTGTTTTTATTGCTTTAGAGAAGAATAAAACAATAGGTAAGTGTGGTGGTGATTGAAACAGAAGTGAAGATAAAGGTGAAACTGAAATTGATGGCAGAATATTAAAATGCAAGTTCTTTCTATTTGTATTAAATCAATTATTTTTGCTGAACTTAACTTTAAATATCAATAAAGATAAAGTAGAAAAATGTCTTGAAGAATCCACATGAAATATTATTAATGATATTTATGAGATTATTGAAAAGTGGCAAGAAAGAGTTATAAACAGATATAATGAAAAATTTAAAAGTAGTTATAGTGAATTCCATTATCTTCTCTTTGATGTGAAATCATATATTAAAAAGAGTAATAATAAAATGAAAAATAACCTTAAAAAGATAGAACTTAAAAATATCAAATATTATGAATTACAAATTATAACAATTTACAAAAAAAGTCAGAATAAGATGGTTTACAAAAAAAATGGAAATCAAAAAAAAAAAAAATAATAATACAAAGAAAGACTCTTAAGCATATTAAAATAGCTACAAAAATTGGGACTAATTCAGAGTGTTTAAATTCTGTATTATCAAAATTTTATATATTTAATATATAATAGTTATTATATATATTATATATAAATCATAATAGTTATCAGTATCATCAATTACTAATTACAAATCTTGTACTACTAAAAATTAGCATTAAATAAAAATTTTTAATATGTTTCAAATTTGTTCACAATTTGTTATTAATTTAAAGATTTTGAGAAAATATAATTTTTTTATGATATATTAAAAGTATAACTTTTGAACTTTCAAATAGCACTAATTTTATTTTATTAAATTAAAATATCTTACTTTTTAAGAAGCAATCTATTTACATTCTATAATATCAGGTGTTACTAAAAAATACTATTATCATATATAGTTGTTATCAGTATTAATTTTTTGATAAAAAGTTATTGTGCAGATGGCACACAATTTATTGAGTCTTACTATGTGGCAAAGTGGTATAGCTATACTACTATAATAGGTACTGTAATACATATATACACCCAATTATATAAGTATATTTCAAATTTTTTTGTGCACATACCACATATTCTTTCTAAAAAAAGTGTGCACAAAATTCTGATCATGTGCGCTGCGCATATGCCGCACAGTGAAAAATAAACACTGGTTGTTATTACTATATATATTGTAATATATTTTTATATAATAATAGTTATTTTTAGATTTACATTTTACTATATATCATTTACAAATTGCCCCTTAAATTTTTTAATATATAAGTTTTTTAACTAATCTGTTTTTTTTTATGTGAAGCGTTAAGTATTAATATAGATATATTATTGTTAAATTATTTTGAAGTTTATATGCATGTTGTTGAAAAATTTCTTTTTATTACTCTCTCACCTACTTGACTACGATTCTTCATAATCTTCTTCATAATCTTCTTGTTGTCTAATTATCTTCATCATTTCTTCAATATATGGATCACCTTTGAGCTCCTCATAAATAGAATCACACACAAGTCTTTCGTAATCTATATTAGGATCATATATTAATGTAGGTGAAAGATCTTCAAGATTATCATCATCCAACGTCGAGGCTGGATTATTAGGGTTAGAATTTTCATCAATTTTTGCTTTGATGAAGAATGAAAATAAATTAATATAAGTAATAAAAATTTTGAAATAATTTATAATCATTTTCATACAAATAATTCAACTAAAATGAATAATAATATAATTTCTTTTAAATATTTTACCAGAATTATTCAACATTTCTTTATCATTTTTTTGAACTAGACAAAAAATAATGCGTATAATGTAAATAACAGTATGATACTTTTTATGAACTTGCCACATAATATAATCATAAATAGTGTAAATTTCTAAAAATGCCATAATAATTTTTAGATTTTAAAAGGTTTCTAATAATATGTTTGATATTTAAAATATTTATTAATGCCAATATAATAATACTTTTAATATTTGAAATATTTATTCTGTTTGATGATTTTTTTCATTTGTGTGTTTATCGAAAACTTTGGAATCCTTTTATACATTAAAAACTTTTAAAAAATTCTTTTTACTAATAATTATTTATAATTATTAATAATAAATCTAATCCATAGTATAATTAATTATATTATAACTCATTATGACTCATTATTATTAATATAATCTTCTTAAAATATAACCATTTTATTTTTTTGTATATTTAGGGTGCTGTCAGATATTACTTAATATTTTAGGGAGAAGGGGGTAAATAAAGATCTTAGGTTACATATAATATTATATAAGGAATTATATATAACATATTTTACCTAGGGGAGGGGAGGTAAGCTTTTATATTAAAGT